TTAAAAGTTGTTTTTGGAACCGTCTCATAAATCTGAAAAAGTGGTTCGCTTCAGCACAGAAACGATGTGGCTCGTCGAGCGCTCTCGCTCTATCCACTTGCAGCAGTTTCATTCAGTATAACCATTTGTCAACGGAAAATATGTTGTGTAGTTGCGAGTTGCCTTGATGATTGTGTATCACTTTTCGTTTATAAGAATTACTGTTCAGTTCTCCAGGAACCAGCGAAAATTTGTTTAATTTCTGCGATGATATAATTCAGCAATTTTTGTCTAAAAGTATTTAGTTTTCTGATATTATGTAATAAATCTTTAAAAAAAGGGATTTATCTGAAGAAACTTAGCTCGGTTATATACAAGGTCCGTCTTTGGGAGCGTACACTAGAAATATTCGCCAAACCAAAATTACCAGAGTTCTGAAAATTCCAATACAAGGTAACGATGTTGGGGCTAACTCATCTAAAGTATTTTCAAGGCGGTACCACTTCCGGTTTTACCGGAAGTACTCGCTTATTTTTAATTTTGTTAAATGAACAGGGTACGAAATTTCCACCGTTGTGGAATAATATCCATTTTTTCCAAAAAAATTGACAGGTGCAGGCTTGGAAATAATTCGTTGTTCCGCCTATTTAGGTCAATCAATTTGAATATAACTTTAGCTTGTTGTGGCCAAAGGTGCCATGTCTCAATGTGCAAAAAATCAGTTTTTGTAAATTTTTTGAAAAGTTGTGTTAATCTGACGCAATGGCTCGACTTGGATTTTCTAATCAAGATTATTAAAATTTAATACTAATTCACGGAGAATGTCATAGAATGCTATCCAGAGCGTCACTGACGATCAGCGGATACTGTAAGAAGTCTGGTTCAAAATTTGGAACAGTTTGGCACATTTACTCTCCATCCAGAAGAAAAATTGCTGTTGATAACGAGCCAACTGAAATAACCACTTTAGCGTATTTTCGTGCATATCCTTATAATTCCATAAACGGCACGAAAATTGTTATTGGTTTGCCACCAGCGACCATCAGGAGGATTCTAAAAAAACATAAATTTAGACCATACTGTTTGCAACTAGTTCAACATTTGAAAGAAGCCGATTTCATAAACCGCATTTCTTTCTGTGAGACTATTTTACTAAAAATACAAGAAATTCCAAATGTTTTGAGTAATATTATACAAAGTGATTCAAAATTGGCGTCATTCTTTTTAAGGGGTGATAGAGGCTCACTTGGGGAGTACGAAAAAAATATTGAAATTTTTTTTTTCGAAAATTTCTGGAAGATATTAACAGTTGAAGATCAAATTTCAACTTTGTTATTAAGCATTATTTAAAAATTGTTCCATGTTTAATTGGTAGCATATTGGAATGCTTAAGCCTTCAAAAACAAAAATTA